CTCCCACGTCATTTTGAAAATGCCTACATTGCATAGGAGTGAAAAAGTCAGTCGCCACTGGTGCGTTGTTTATGTTTCTAATTACAAATGGAATGCATTACAAAAGGTAAACACAGGTTAGCCTCTTTGCAACCGTGACGGGAGGGAGCTGAGGTTGTCAAAACCAGGCAGAATTTATTAGATAATGCAACCAATGTGTCTGATCTGTTTTTACTTTCATATGCGTATGTTGATTTGTGTGGTATATTTCATTTTGGAGGATTTAGTGGCCCTGAAAAGGGCCGTTTGGTTTGGTCATGGACACCCATAGTTTGGTTGAAATCAACGATAAACGGCATTCATATGCCGATCCCAACAATGTTGCCTGTAGTGCTCTCGATGTACCGCCCACTGCCGTCATCAGGTGAAGTCCACACGCTGGTGTATGGTTGATTGACGTTCTCATTCCAATGTAGAATCGCAAAATAAGTGCGCATTTCATACTGCTTGGAATGAAATGCGATGCTCTTTTCATGAAGAACATTCAACGAATTGTTGAAGCTTTCAACGTGGATGGTATTGAGGGCGTGGACGTAGTATAAATAACAAAATTGTGAATAAATGCGCGAAGGAGATTCTCTGCCGCTTTGCTGGTAATAACAGTTTTTTTTCGGCTCGTAGCGAGAATTTGTTTTGCAGCTCGATTCAGCACTACATTCCTGGTGATTATTTTGATGATGATTCACGATGTTGTCTAATTTGGCCCGGAGTACCACAACATCACGTTCACAATTCCGTATTGCGTATGCGAAATGAGTCGTGTAATTGCTCGTGCCAAGTTTTATGGTGTACCATTAGGGCCAAAATTGAAAAACACCGATAAACTTTCAATACTAGAATGAATAAATAAATAAATAAATCAAAGAATAAAACAATAAATAAAAGAATAAATTAAAGGATAAAACAAGAAATAAAAGACTAAATTGAAAAATAGAACGATAAATTAAAAAATAGAAAAATAAATAAAATAATAAAACAAAAAATAA